CCCCAAAACCCCAAAACCCCAAAACCCCAAAACCCCAAAACCCCTAAATTCAAGCTTTTATTGAAAGCTCAATTTAATCCAGTGTAAGGACTTTTTCCTGGCCTTTGAGTGAGCTTTGCGGGATAAATAATTTATTATGCTTCAAAGACTCAGTGCAAAGTGCAAGAGTGAGACTGATAACCTCCGATCGATAAAGCTACAAGAGTACAAAGATTGCCTTGAAGAAGATCCATTTGAGCTCCTTCGAGTTCTCGAATCCTGATTTGATCCTTCAAATATGAAGGAATATAAGGATTATTGTAAGAAATTACAAGAGGAAAGTGAGAAGAGACCCTCTCCAATTCGGAAAGATTGCAAAACTAAGATTATTTCTACCAAGAAGAAGACAAAATGACTCACTAATAAAATGTTTGATAGTGACTATAAAGAGGTCAAACTCACTAAAGACCTTAAATGCAGGCTATACAAATGGACAGAGTCCTTTTGAGGATATCAAGAACTGAAAGCAAAGTACCAAGTGAACCCAGAGCTTGTATCTCTTGATACTTACCACTACGAGTGTAAAGTTCAGTGGCTGAAGGGATTCATGCAAGGAAAAATGACTGAGCATTATGAAAGAGTCAAGATCGAAGGATATGAAGTTGATACAGAACAGAAAGAGCAGGATCTCAACGACATCCTAGTTGAGAAATCCTCTAATGATTCTACATCCAGTTTTGATAACCTTAAGATTCTTTCTACAAATAGTGAAGATAAGTGCTTTATCGCTCTCAAACAATCAGAAGAAGATGAGAGTGATTTCCAGGAAGAGACTGATACATATAAGATCTTTCAGTATTATCTTAAAGAAGCAGAGGGCTTAGATATGCCTAAAGTTATCGATTTTGCTGGAGATATCTCCAATGATCTCGATGAATTTGATGATTGGTTCAAGTCCTTCAAATCACTCTTAGTCAAAATAAAGAACTTTTATGGATGTGCCCATGACTTTTTGAAGCCTCAAAAGGTGCAGTGATTAATCGAAATAGACAAAATTCAAGAATGTATTAGCTCAGCAGAAGATCTAGTGATACCTCCTGTTAAGGAATTGGAGTTCCTCCAGTTCCTGATAGAACAGTATGATTTCTGGATTTCTAAACTAGAGCGATACCACAAATTATTAATGAAAGGATTTGATCCCAACAGATCTCTTCACGATAAAAAAGCTATCTGAATAGAAGCAAATAGGTTGAAAGATAATCTGAATTTCTTCCCAGTCATTAGAGATTCTGATCTTCCCATGATCAAAGATATTATGGCTGTAATTTTCTTATGAACGGTTGAAGATATGCTGAATGATACTTCCAACAGAGTTGGAAGATACCAATATGACTGCTTTGCAATAGAGGTTGATATCTACCCTTCAGAACACTTTATTTACGACCATCCTGTTTATCTGGAGTTTAAAGAGTATTATGAATTTGCTTCTTTATGAGATGAACTTGCTAATTCGGATAAGATTGCTCAGAAGAATAAAATAGATCCTGATAAAAGTCTTGATAGTTTTCTAGAGAGATGTAAAGCTTCGAAAATAAACCTCACTGATGAAATGGACTGAATTACTTATAGAGTGGAATGATTTAAGGAGAACAGAGACAGACTTAGGAAGTTATTGGAAGAAAAAGAAGATTACACAGAGTTTTTGGCACTTGAGAAAAATTTTGATGAATGAATATGTATCTGAAAGAAAGAGAAATCTATTATTAAGGAAATTAAAAGAAAAGTAGAAAGTCTAGCACAAGAAATGGTTAATAAGTATGAAAATATGCCTTTCAGTCAAGCCTCTTTTAAAAAATACAAAAGAAGAAAAAAGAAGAACAGCAAAAGTGATGAAGAAAACGAAATTTCCTTCATAAAACGTGCTGAACTACTAAAAGCATCCAAAAACACCATAACCACCCCTCCCCAATCCCGGTCTCCCTCCCAAAGCTCCTCCTCTTCTCTCACCGACGAAGACCCAAACTCTCTCACTCGTGCAGGAATTCTTATTGAACGTTACCAAGATTTGGAATGCAAGTTCAGCGAAGGCGAGATTTTTCAGAACACAGTGGTAGAAGAGATAGGAGCGTTTGAGAAAATTTGTAGGAAGATAGGGTTTTATGAGAAGTATTTGGGGAATAAGCATTCTATTGACTTGGTAGATGAAGATACCTATTTTGAATTTAATCCACGAGAAGAAGATCCAACTCTGGCTAAGGAATTCAAGGAGTCCCAGATAGAGAGAATAGGAGATGCAGGCGATTCGGATTTTGATGCTGATGTTGGTATTCAAAAAACAATCTTGAAGGAAATGTGGAAAAAGGTGAGAAAGCTGAGGATAAAATTAGCTTCCTTTTCAATAAGCTTTGGTTATAAAGCAAATGAAATCAATACTGCTTTGGAAGCACTAGAAGTTAGAGCCTTTTCAAGGTTACTCTCTCTTCAATTAATGACCCAAGCTGACTCCTCTTGCTTATATGATCAATTGAACTCAGTATTTGAAGGAGTGAAACCTGAGAGCTCCTTTCGAAAGCAATATAAACCTAATGTGACATTTAAATACGTGAAAGATACCTTTTGCAAAAAGAATTACCTGAATAATGACTTATTTTATCTTGTCCCTACTTCAGAAACCCAGTTGTTTCAAAATATGATAAATATATTCTGTAAATACGAAGCTTTATGAAGAAAGAACAAGGATTTAGACTACCTTCGAGAATTCCAAAAAACATCACGAGGCTTATGAATCGATTTCTCCACCTTCATAGATAACTGACGATATTCTATCATAAGGCGTCTACCTAAAGAAGATTGTGCCTCCGATCAGAGTAAGAAGAGTAAAAAGGACAACAAGAAGGCTAGAAATAAAAAGTCTGAGGGATATAAAACCATGCAATCAAAAGTTGATGATAATTATCAGTCTTCTAAAGACTCAAAAGGATCCAATACCCGGTCTAGGAAGAGAAGGAAGTTTGAAGACTCTTCAGTTTCTTCCTATAATTCAGGAACTCCGATGACAAATCTCCATGCCAAGGAAGTGATCATTGTGAACAACTACTATTGACCTAATATGTAAATTGTTCAATAAAACCGTTTTTGTTGGGGTTTTGGGGTTTTGGGGTTTTGGGG